AACGTTTTGGGGGGTCGATCTCCGATCTCGATAGGCAGCGAGCAGATGCTGGCGGGGATTGCCGAATGTTTCATCAGAGTGGAAGTGCTCGAATTCGAGTCACAAAGGCATCTGAGGGGGCTGAGTGTTCGGGCTCCTCTTGCCTTGTCGCGGGATAAAAAAAGACGAAAATTTACGAGGCGTTGTCGGCCTGGGGCAGACTAAGGCTCTGAGGCTAGAAGTACTCAGCTGAGACAAACCATTCGGTATTATATAGGTGTCTCATAAGTTCGCGGCGAGCGCATACCTCGAGCATGCTCCCCAGAATGTTTACGGGCCGAGTAAACCGCAAGATCAGCGTCTGGCAGGCTATAACAGCTGTAGAATGGAGGAGTACACGTTGCAATTTGAATATATGAAGCAAGTCTTTGAGGGAGGGAAAAGAATACACATAAGCGCCCGATCGAAAGTCAGTCGAGTGCTTCAAGCGATTGCACGGGGACCGGAAGAACATAAGCTGCAAGACTCACGGGACACAAAGTGCCGGATGATGACAAAATTGTATGAGGTATAGTCAAGTACGCGTACGCATACGGCCATTTGCAGTGTAGATTAATACTCACATGACCTCAAGGCTGCGCGCTTTGACGGCTAGGGTATGCCAGCTTCACAGGGATATGGTGTGGAGTTTCATTATCACACATTCTCTGTTTGACAAGCAAAGGGAGTCACATTGTGCTGTGGCATAATACAGGGGGGCAAGGAGACAGATGTCACTTGACCGCGAAGAAGGCATTTACTTCATTTCCAGATGTACTGGGACCCGTGGCGCAGTTTTATTCTTATTTGACATAATTTACAAGTTATCCTTACTGGCCCTTGAGGCTGAAACAAGAAAAAGCAAAAGGTCACTTATTCAATGATTTCTATTAGTTTCGAGAAGACTGGCCAACTTTGACTGTTTTCTGAGTTTCTCAGGAAGCAGGAATATAATTTGTTTCTCCAGCTGTTTCAACTGTATCAGATTAAACCTATCTCAAATAATAGGACTCGGAGTACATGAGAGGGTTGAAGGAGAGCAATCGTCTACATCGATAAGGGGCTTTCGCCGGGAGAAGTCCTCGGGTGATCGAAACCGAGTGAAGTTTCAGCCTCACAATATTCCAACCTTAATACGCCACTGCGTTTCCACTACTTCATGGCGCGTCTCTTACTCTCTCCCTTCGTTGACTCGGAAGATTGTCTTATGAATTTGCGTTGACTATTGAACCCTGTCTTCTCCTCGGAAGGCTGCAAAACTGCTTGGGTCCGCATCAAATACTGGACCAACCCCATGCAAGTGAGTCGCGCCAACACGCATTTAATGTTGATTGAATACATACAAAGATGTTATGGAGTCTCCTAGTAGCGACCACGCCCATTTTAATGCCTCATTCAGTCTGGTAGAATTATTGTCCATTATATATACGGCTATACCACTCTGTGTGCATGCCCCGGATCCAAGCGTCTGGTTTAATCAAGCCCTTCGACTCAACACTGATCAGGCTTATGCTCAATGGACCAAAAGGTCGTGCAACACAGGCGCCCATATGTCCTTCGAACATTGAGTAGACGTTTGCCCTGCCATGGATGTTCCAACAGTGACTACAGTGACTACAAGTAAGGCATCACAGAGCATTGATGAAGGCATATTTATAGATTTCTACAGCATTAAGGAATCTGCCGGACTCCGGGAGCACACCAGTTGTTTCAAGAAGTGTTGCCTTGATTTGTTACTGACGACCAAAGGGGAGAAAACCACTCAGCTCGCCTATTCAGCCTATTCAGCCTAGCCATAAATCCATATTTGAGCGCAGGATGGGGTCATACTTCGCAAACGCGAAGTACTCTGATTTCCATGACAATCAATTCAACGCAGCAAACCGCGATATTAACCAGACAAGTTTCGGGACGATTGGACCACACTACGCAGGCCAGTCTGCTCAGCTTACAGGGACGACCAACTATCTGCAAATTATCAACTACAACATCCACCCTAGCAGCTTAGGAGTAGTAGCAGCGTCAAACCCAGATGGTGAGCTGTTCGGGGTCCGCAACTATAGTGAGCCTGGGTTAAAGATACTTTGATTTATATTCTAAACATATTACAGGCTCTCGAGAGCAATCAGGGTATTCGAACTTCGAAATCGGGTGCAGCCAGAGGTCGGATTCCGTAGGTATGAGATGGTGTAGTCTGACAGCGACCGCAAATCCTGACATAGATGAACAGTGAGCAGGACGGGCGCACCTTTCCAGCATCAGTCTCCGCCCAGTAGCTGCACATGCCAGCTCCTTCCCGCTCGAAAATGTCCCTTCCATGATTCCGACACGGGCCGGCGCAAGCAGAGAAAGAAGCAAACACTTTCAGATGACAATGGACCTCCGCCAACACCACTCATAAAGGTCGTCCAGCATTCGTATCTTGGTCGCCAAAGAATCTTGAACTTCTTTCGTTCCCTCCGAGATCGAATTCGCCATCAGTTTCTGTGATCAACGCCCATCCCAAGCTATTCCAGTAATTGCCAAGGGGTTCGTTGACGAGGTATGTATGTGAATGCAGAAAGGCCAACACGGAAAGTCTCCCTCCGTGGTTCTATTTAGCCAAAGTTTCAGCGTAGTCGACGTCTTGGCTTCGACGAACCGTTTCCGAACCCATAACGAGCAAGGATTTGACCAGGAGCTGCAAGACCATATCTCCCTTGCTGCCACACCATTCCCCGCCCTATCCCTACCAGCTCCCTCACACCTCGTCAATCACCGCCTCGGCAGGCCGGGGACCTTCCAAATGGCGTACATCCCCGGTCAGGTTCCAGGGTGATGTGAAGGCAGTGTTACAACCCATTTACAGCATCGTTCCCAAGTTACAGCGCTGGATCCCGTGACCACTGGGAACAGCGCCCATGGTGTCGAACGATGGAAAGGCGTGCCCAGGAAGGACGAGGAGGTGAAGGGCGAGGGGCGAGGGGCGAAGAGGAAAGAGATGTTGACCGAGTCGATGCCGCCTGTTATGTAGGGAAGTTCGGTATCCAGACCGCAAAGAAATTGGGAATAAGAGTAGGGGATCCAAAAGCCTGCGCAAAACGCTGGAAAAAGCAAATCGGTTTTCCATTTCCTCCCACTCACCCCAACTTCCAAGAGTTTCCTTCCAATAGCGCTTGCACTAGGTCCAGTTTGGTTGAGGCAAGTCCTTGCTGTATGATTACGGTCTAGTACAATACCGTAGTTAGCGTATCAAGTCGGTAGAAGTGGTGGCCAATCCAAGTAGATCCTCACCTTTAGAACGCTGTGTAACCAGGAGGTGGTAAAGCTCTCAATCCACCCCAAAGTTCCGATCGATCCCAGATGTAAAAGGGTGGATGACGACGGACAACATGGGGCCGACGACATGCTAGATAGAAGAAGGCAAGCCGTGAGGGACATGACAGGTTTAGACTACTTAAGAAGGGAGACTATCGAACGTCGTCTTGGGAGGGACATTTGCAACAGTGGACGGAGTTGGCTGAATCACAGCGTGCTGTTAACAGCAAGACGTGAGAAGTACCTCGGGGATCTCGTTTCAACAGTCGTTTCGGGCTCCTCGGTGGACATCTCGGAGGCCCGAGGGGACCTCTTCTTTCGAAGCTTCAACATCCTAAATTCTGAATACATACACACTAATATTCTCAACTAAATATAATTCCAAAGTTCTCGCGTGTACCTCTCATTTTGGCGCACTAACTCGACCCTTGAGCGGGAATTTCAACCAGTAAACAGGTTTCGCGACGACGCGGGTACCTCGGGGACATGTTTGTGCTCAACGGTGAGTGTCATGACAAGGTCACTTCTAACCGTAAGGCTCGTACTGTGATGGTAGCTCAGCACAGTAATCTCAAGGACGCATGGCGACCTCTGAACGAAGGTCTTACATCCCGGAAGCATCCACTACTCGGCGATTGCATTCTGCGTGTCTACGCTGTATGCTTGTCATCCAAATTCCAAACCAGTTATCCATATTGACCGTACAAGGTGAATGAGACTGAAAGGCCAGTTTGCTATCCGTACTTTAAGCCTTTAAAGAAGCAGAGCATGGTAGGGACTGCATTGAGTCGTTACATTGACAGCCCCTGCTACATTAGTCTTCCACCCGAGTCGGTCTATTGAATGTCTGGCGCTTAATAAATTATACGAATGAGGAGAATACTGATGTCCTGTGTCCTTAGTCACAGGAAGGAGTCTCGCCGCACCGACAAGCTTGATAAAGGCGTCCGGGATGGCATGGTCAAAGTAGAGCAAGTACTCGAATAATTTAAGAGCGTAACCACGGCCTTACGGGCGGTCGGATGTTCACATTGGCATCGGCGCGTTCATATTGAGAGGATGCGCCGCTTTGGTCGCATCGGAGCTCAGCCACCGAAATAACAGACAACTTGAGGACGAAAATTCAGATGATTGGGATTAATCCTTTCGTTTTTCTGTGCACCAGATGATAATATCGGTCAGTACATAAGCGAATGGTGAAATGAGGGTACACGATTGACACTATGCCATACAGTCAGTGCAGCCGTGTTTACTGTCGATCCCATGTAAATCCTTCCATATAACTTCGGTCAGCTGCTGGTATGTTGACAGAGTATTATATTCGTCTGCTAGTACTCCGTGGAGTGCTTGGACGCCAAGAAAGATCACAGATGGGCATAAAACTCGATGGCAAAGAGTTGCCTTCTACTCAAGATGAACAAAACAAACCCTTAGTATACGTATTTAATGTATTACTGATACCTTCCACTTCGTCTGGCTATGTATAAGAGTGGAAATAGACACAAAAAGGATGGTGTGACCCCGACCCGGATTGAACGGATGACCTTGAGGAATTTCGCGCACTGGAATCTCACATTCTACCACTGAACTACGGGGTCATATGATGATTAGCGCTTGCTTTTTCACCAGCGGTGGTGCTTCTATAGCTTCTCCAAACGTTTACGGATCGGAGCGAAGGAAAATAATGACCCCGACCCGGATTGAACGGATGACCTTGAGGAATTTCACGCGCTGGAATCTCACATTCTACCACTGAACTACGGGGTCATGTAAGAGGCTGTGGACCGGCCCCCCTCCTGGGAGGCGACCTCATCCAATCTCCAAGAATAAATGTGTTTGACATTCGAATTCAGGAAGTTAGTTTGTGGGGCAGTGGGTACTCAAAGGACAGTCAGTGCGAAGCTTGAGCGCGTGTTACCCTCGCAATCGTGCGTTTGGCAGTCAAGCTGCCGTGTCTTATGATCTTACAGTATTGAATCAAGCAGTTACCAAACATTCACATAAATTCTCGTTCCTATTCGAAAATGAGAACTAAAAAGTGGTTCGTGACCAGGGACAATTAAACTGGCACACGTCGATAAAAACGACGTTGTGAAAACGATCCGATCCAGGGCCCCAAAACATTAGCTAGTTGCCTTTGGTTGCGGCCCTTATCGCCTTCGTCAGGTCACACAGGGTTCACCATAACCCCACATAGCCACGTAATGTAGCCCTCTGTCGGGTTATGGTTACCCCAGGCACAGTCCCATTGCCCTCGTCCTATCTATCGCCCCCAGGATTTCCTTGTTGTTTTTTTCTCTCATGAATCACTGTGCTGGCACCTCGCAGCAGCATATAACCAGATCTATGAAAAATTTAAAGCAATCAGATAATGGTCTAACTTCACTGCTATACATACCTCCTCGAGAAAGCATGCGGAGAATGACGGTCTGGACAAGTCGGTTCGGTTCTTCTCTATCAATACCATGGCTGTTTGCGTTTTCCGCGAGGCGCCTGAGGTCAGGCACTGGGAATCGGGGCAAGATCAGGCAAGCCCAAGGTAGATATAATCGGATAAATCGACGACTTGCAGCAGGTATCGCAGAAGCGTAGATTATTATTGTTCTGTCCTAGGTGCTGGTGGTAGCTTACTTCGAGGCGGTTGAAAAGTCCCCGGCTGTTGATATGCACGCCCGTGTCGCTGTAGTGTCCGGATACCGCCGTGAACCAACCCCTTGCGACGAAAAACTGCTTTGCGCGTTCAAAAAAAGATGGCGGCATGACGTGGCAGATCTGGTGATGATATTAGCTCGCAAATCTGATGGGTATAAGCGCGCTTAACGAAGTGTTAGAGGTACGACTCGCCTTGACGCCTGTGTTGAAAGAGAATTTCGGAGTGGGGAGGTTTGATGGGACCTCTGGACGTCCCTCAATTATTCGCACACCCACTTGATATACCTGGTGCATGCCTCGTGGGTAGCACATGTTCAAGGCTGCGGCTAAGGAAGTACCCCGTTTTTACAGAGGTGTGAAGAACCATCAAATCATGCCCCTTCATTACCCCCTCATATATGTCATCGATCATCCGCGAGGCAATATGCTTTACGCCTGCCAGGCAGAACATGATTAGAGTGTTTTGCATAAGGCCTTGAAAACGAACTTTCTTTCATTTGTCATTATCTAATGCAAGATACTCCGCAAACCAACCAATCTCCCTCCTCAACCTGGGGCCTTGACTAGAGTCGATTTAAACCTCTAACTGGGAGTGACCGCTCGAATTGCACGAAAGATGATGCGCAAGAACTTATGCAAATCACTGCAAGCATTGCAGAGCAGAGAAACCAACATTCCGTGAAGAAAGTCTACTCATTACTACTCCTACTACACCAACGGAGAGAGGCTTAACAGCCATGCAATCGATAAGCAATCGATCGACTGCAATCCATATCAGGTCAAGCCAAGCAAGATATTTATAGAACTTTCGTGTACATCACAAGTCAAATGAAAGCATCACATCGTGTAACTCCCACATCCCCCGCAGGGAGTCGACCCGTGAGATGAGTTGCACAGCTACTACCATCTACCACTTGTCACTGCTACGGGCCTGCAGTGGACGCGACGGTGGCGCGTTGTACTATTAATAACTAAGCAATGCAACCCCGGAGCAAGACCATAAATGGTAATTACTTTGGCTGCTCGGAGGTCCAAGCGTTTAGGCGAAGGCCATAGCCCCTTTCATCCCAATGACCATGGCTTGTGCCAGTGGTACCGTGCAGCCTGCGTCTTTATAATTATAAATACTCGACACTCAGCCTACACTTACTCGCAACATTTGCTGTCCATTTCCCAACTACAACAGCAACAACAACTTCTCCAGTACTAACTTGTAGCTTTATAAAGATGGGTGTAACTCAATCTTCTTCAACCGGCAGCACCGGGCTGCGGCTTCCCTCGGAGCTATACCTGATGATCGCAGACAACCTGAACAGCACCGACCGCAACGTGCACGCGCTAAGCCTGCTCTCCGAGACGCACCACCTCGCCAACAGCGTCCTCTACCGCACCATCGTCCTCGACCTCTGCAGCACCGCCGAAGAAGCCAACGTCAACCGGCTCGCCGCGACACTCATTGCCAAACCCTACCTCGCGCTCCACATCAAAGACCTCACGCTCATCCGCGAGGGCCTGGAGTCCTGGACGCGCCACCTCGCAGCCAGCCGCCGCCGCTGCCTCGAGCCCGTCCCCCACCACCGCAACATCACCCGGCTCCGCTACAGCCACTTCCTCCAGGAATATGGCATTGAAGAACGCTCCCTCCCCGCCATCCTCACCCTCGCGCTGTCGGTACGAAAGTTCAGCCTGGTAGGACTGGGCGGCGTGCACCCCATCGCGCCGCGGTGGGGCGATTTCAAGCCTGAGCTCCGGTTGGCTCTGCAGAATATGCTACTCCGCCCGGATGTGCGGCATAAATCTATCACAAGGATACGGTTCTTCCCGCAGGCGCTGCTGGAGAGTGTGCATGCGAAGGAGCTTGTGTTGAGTGTGATTGATACGGAACTGCCGAAGCCCAGTGACGCGTCTTTTGGTGTTGAGAAGCTAGCAGGTGAGAGCGAACCGTCTGCTGCTGTTGCAGCGCGTAAGTGTGAGCGTGATTCTGGGTCTTTGGAACTGAGTATGCCAAGTCTGTCCACCATGCGTTTTTGTGCCTCCCCTGCCTTCCTCGCGACCCGTTCCATCCGCTCTCTCGTCTTTTCATTTTTCGCTGGAGTTTCTGAAGGCTTTGCGTGCTTGCAAGCCATCCTTAATCACGCTGCCCCCACGTTGGCAGATTTGAGTGTTAGCACGCATTTGTTGTTCAAGTATAGTACGCTCACTCCGGGCTGGAACTGGTTGGTTGACGGCCAGCTGGAGGTTGGCAGCCTCTGCCGTCTTGAGTCCATCCACATCTCGTTCAAGACCTGGAATAGAGGGGTAGGTGGCCTAGTTGTAGGGTACGGGGAGTGGAAGTGGGCGCTGGACATTCTTAAAAGATTGGGAGCCCGCGGGCGGTTGAAAGTTATTGACCTGTGGGTGCTGTGGGACGACCCAGACGCCGAGTTGGAGGGCGCACATTGGGAGGGGTGGGATGGTGTGCTTGCTGGACATGTTGCGAATGGGGTGAAGGAGATCCACTTTGTGTTTCATGGCTGCAAGGCCCGCGTTGATGGAACTCCGCGGGGCCCGGATAATGTTTGGCGCCACTTGCCGTCTTTAGGAAATGAGCTCGCCTTGACTTACCGTAAGCGCGTACTGAGATAAGTTGAGAACCGTCCGTTGCTTCTCTTGGGAAATGGTACATTGCTACAGGATACGGTATACACAAGTATAGAAAATCATTTGAACGTTTGATTGGCTGGATGTTATCGTGAATTCGCCTTGGTTTTGAATGTTTGAGAATTAGGCGCTGGAGTAAGCTACAACAGCCACTTGATCTGAATATATGTATGAACCTGTATGGATCTCATATAAGCGGGAGACGATGTCAACTCGATATGTCCGTGTCAAGAACTTAGATCGGCCGCCAGTATCTACGCCCCAGGCTAAGTATCATCGTCAATCGCGGATCAGGATTGACACTGGGTGGTGCGAGGTAGTATGGAGCATTGGGTCGAGTTTCAGGGAAGGCCCTGAGGCTTGTAAACGCTCCTGACTGGCCCTACATTCAAAGTAGTAAGCGCATGGTACGCCACACCCAATTAATATTATTATTACAGAAGTGTTCCAGCATCATGCCGTTGCCGAGGGGGTAATTGACTCGGATGTGCCAGGGGTGAAGAACTGGGGATACGAAGGGATACACCCAAGCATGCATTCGCGGATCCTTTGGAGAGCTTACGCGCTGCAAAGGGGTTTGAAGGAATGAGAATGGTGTAACCACGTTTTGTGGTATTTAACTGATATATCAATTTGATTTGCGGCCTAGTGTCGCGGTTAGCATTTTGCAGCCATTGCATTTTCTCTCCCGTTCCATATGTATCTGTTTCGCATCCCTCTGCCTCTGTATTACGTTATGTCTTCTCCGCGTGTTCGAATCGTTTCCGCCATTCTTTCTCTTTCCTCTTGACTTTCTTGTGATTTGCTCGTTACACACCTATGCGCAGAGTAAAACAGTAATTACGCTAGCTAGTTGTGGTGTATCCAATATTAATGCAAGTGTTACAACATACCCACCAGTCACCAAATTATAACGCCAGTGCGCCGCTGTGGCAGCCTGGCTATATCCAGACCTTTGAGGGTTTCGTCCGAGTCGCTATCATCGATGTCATCCCCGTTGGATGCACGCTCTTAGACTCGAGCGGTGGGCAGCAGCCGTTCGCAAGGATCCCAAGAATGTCGGTGGCTCTCGAGCACCCATCTCCGGCTCCGCTCTCTTCGTACTCGGGCCACCACGTACCTAGCTCCCTATACGAATACCGCCAAGTCAAGGAGGACCCCTGAATATTCCCCTAAAGGCTGGGGGAGAATCCGGACAAGCTCGAGGGTCCAAGCCGTTAGGCTGGGAGAAAAATCCGGACACGACTTCTCCGAAATTCTGCTGAAGGCCGGGGTAGTCAAGGTGCCCGCCGTGCTGTCGCTGTCCATAAGTGTATTTTTCAGCAATCAGAACTGCTGAAATCTCTCGGGACTTTTTACTCTAATATGAAGCACCGGCTAATTATAAACTTGGTGGTTAAGTTCATGTTTTATCATTTCATTTCATTGATGGTAGGATAATAGCCGACACGGTGGACTAGTTCTGTGCATATGAG